TGGGGCAGTGCCGATCAGCGCTGGGGCAGAGCCAGCTGGCCCCGGGGAGGTGCCTTTGGGCTGCTTTCTAACAAAGAGCCCTCCGTGTGGCTCGGCTGGGAAGTGCCCGGCAGAGAGCTGGCACTGCAGAACAGGAGGAGGAAGATGACATTAAGGACTGACACAGATCCATATATTTCAGTGCCTCCCCGCTTGGCACCTCTGCACAGGCAAACCATGGAATAACAGCTTCCCTCACATACCTTGGATCCCAAGGAGGAGTGCTGTGATGAGTAAGATGCAGAAGACATAGGTGAATGGTATTTATAGCCTAGCTCAAAATAATTTTTCCAGACACTTCCTAGGTTGGTGTGGGCTGGCTTTAGTCGTGTTCCTTAGTGTTTGCCACTGCCTCCTCCACACCTGATCAGGGACTGACACAGCTCCTTTCCTCATCTTTTAATTGGCAAACTTGCTTCTCTAAAATATTTCTCTTTTGCCTCATGCAAATTGTGAACTCACTGGCCATGAGAAGAGCCTTGCCTTTGAATGAGCCCTCACAGAGACAGGAATGTTTCAAGACAATTGAAATCCCAATTTTTATTGGGATGAGTCTGCAATACAAAACTCCTCATGTATTTCTGAACACCAAGAGCAGCACTTACTTGGGCAAATCTGCTCCTGGGCTGGTTAAGTAACTGCCCAGGCAGACCACTGTAATTTTAATAACCCTCAGGAGTGACAAAGCTTTACCCACACAGCCCTAACTGCAAGATAGGGTCACAAGTAACAATTTGGTGTCTTGTATCCAATCAAGGAGCTTTTGTTCAGTCCCTTTTGCTGCTGATTCGGGATCTTTCTTTTCTTTCCTGTTGACCATTTATTAACTGGTGGCACAGGAATACCCAACGTCCATTATTCTAATTGTTGTCCCATTTCTGTATAAAATGATTTCTGAGTCACATCCAAAACCATATAGACTCCTTTCATTGCCATGACAACAGCAAGGCATGCCAATGTTAGCAATGTCTGCTAGAAAAAAAACAGCAGTAAAAGCAAAAAACAGTTAATTGAGGTATTTCACATCTAAATCCCATTTTCTGTAATGATCCAAAATTATCCTGCATTGTGGAAAAGTAGCTAAGAACAAGCCCTAGATAAATAGCATAGTCTCATGCTGAATGTTGAGTCTTGTCCTAGGCACTGCAGTACAAAAAAAGATCTTACAAAAATAGAGAGAGTGGAATTGGTCATAGCCCTGGTGTCATATTTGGATCAGAAGAGGATGAAGAGTTAAATGTGGTTGCTAAAAATGAAGGATAACCACTAACAGCTCTAGAAAAAGGGTTGATGTTAAATTGCACATTGTTCTTTCATTATCATACCTTCATCTTCATTGCCTAAGTACATTTGATGTGATTACATAACAATACATTTAAAACTAATAAATAATGCAGCAACTCACATAAAATAATAGGAAATCATTGATGTAAAATAGGTCTTGTAGAGCTGAATATTAGAAGAAATCTGCCTTAGTCCAAGTGAGGCTGGGAAAGAGGAAAGCCAGAGGGTGGGACTTGAGAGGTGTGGAGTCATCAGGAAGGATTATTTCTGTTTAAGGGAGGTGAGAGCACAGAGATAGCAGAGGTACCATCTACAGCCTCCTTTCCTTGAAACCTGCATGATCCTGTGGCTTTCTCCTGGCCTCCCTCTATGCTTTGAAGCTGAGATGGAGCCTGTTTTGGAAATAGAACTGAGCATAAATGTCCTGCAGTCAGGGACATTCCCTGCTGAACTCTTCACATTTGTGGGTTTTGAAGTCCTCTGCTTATGCTTGTGGAGGAGGTGGAGAGGAGGAGTGATGCTGCCCATGGAAAGCTGTGATTCAGGTATCCCTGGCTGTGTCTGGAGCTGGCCCATAAAACTCTTCTCGATGGTTTTTGTTCTTTTCACCCTGCTAATGCATTGCTGCAGGTGGCTGGAGGGCTAATCTTTCCTCTGATGTGTCCTCAGGGTGCCCAAATGAGTTTCAGGAGCCTCTCAGGAGCACTTTCCAAAGGATGAGAGTGCTATGTTTTCATTTAATGGCAGTTGACTCTCCAAGGAGGTGGATGATTTCTGGTGACAGCCACAGGTGTTGTCAGAGCAAGTGTAACTCTGGTTCCCCTTATTTACAGCCTTATTTTTAGACCTACTGGTACTACTGTAGACTAGAATGCTGTTGGCTTCAGCTGGGTTCTCACAAATTTTGACAATACTTGCCAGCTTAGGGAGGTAGAAAAGACCTCCTCATCCTGCATCATTTGCCATCCTGGGTTTCATTTGAGTTGGGGAGGTCCTGAATGCCAGGTGGCTGTAGCACCTCAGGCAGTGGGGCTCCAGCTCTGAAAGAGAAACTGGGGAAGTCACTTGACTTCTAGATGCTGAGACTTACCAAAGATTGTGGTTAATATCAAATATTAAGAGTTGCTATCTAATAAACAAGCTTCATGTGAGAATTCACAAAGATAAATAGCAGTGATCCTTCAGCATCACTTAAATTCTGAGATCAGTGAGCCTCTGGAAACAGCCCTCCCCCTGCATCCAGGCAAATGGGAAGGTGGGGATCCTGGGCTCTCAGCACTGCGGGGTGATTGATGGGCTGTGTCAGGGCTTGATGAGCAAACCAAGAAAACCTTGTGGCTTTATGGACTTAATATCTAAGTGTGCATAACTTAAAAGCATTAAACATCTGCAAAGCTAAGAAATTCCTTGAGAACTGTGCAACACTTGGCTGCTGGTGGAGCCTGCAAGCCATAAAAGCTGCAGTTAATGATAAGGTTTGTCTTCATGTCTGGTTAATGAAAGTGTGTGGGTGTGGGGCACGTGACCATGTCAGGAGCACTGCTACAGCCCAGTGTCTGCTTATTCTGCTTTTTCTTCTGCATAGAATGTATTTTCATGTATCTGTTGAATTTTTTAGGTTTTTTTCTTACACAGCATCCTTTAGCTGGCATATTTTAAATACTCTAAGAATGCTTTAAAATGCATTTATAATTTACCCCATTTTTGGTGATGTTTGTTTGCACAGTGGTCTCATCAACAAAGAAGCTGTTCATTCACAGCACAGCTTTATCATGGCTTTAGACAAAAGATTAGGTGGTGCAGTTAGGGGTACAAAACTAGAAAAAAATCTTGGAACTTGTTGAGCAAAAATGGGTTGTCTTGACAATTACTCTGTGGGACACTACAGAGGTAAATTGCTAACAGAGACTTTTTTCTCATCCTGTGTTTTTTTAGCTTGGTTAGGTCAAAGACTTTTCAAAGCAAGGCATTTGGGTTTTATTCTGCTGTGAAAAATGATGAATCCGTGAGTAGCCTTTTAGGGGAGGCCAGCCATCAGCAGATGGCTCAGGAAGAAAAGGCAAGAGCAAGCACATAGTAATGTGTCCCCAAATATTGCAGGGCCTTCTGTGGGTCAGGGTGTTTTTCGGCTATATGAGATGTCTTTGGTAATCTGTGATGGATTTTTTTCTTTCTTGTATTTCTCCAGTCCCTTTTTGAGTCCAGGTAAACTTTTACTACATTTTGTCCTGTGTTCTACAGCTTAATTATATGTGAATGAAGAAATAATTGCTCTTTGGTTGTTCTGAGTTTGGTAGTTCCACCCGTTACCCTCTAGCTCTTCTATTGGAAGAGGCAGTAAACAATTTTTCCCTGTTCAGCTATTTCAGGTATCCAATCTTTGTAAGCTTCCATTACATTACTGCCTTCAGCTGATGTACCCAAACATATGCACTCACTCCTCAAACAGAATTTTTCCTCTTGCTTCTTGCCAGTTTTGCCCTTTATTTAGTCCTTAACAAAGGGCACTGATTCAGTCATGGCATCCCTACTGTTTTAGGGCTGTAACCAATTCACGTGAGTATAACTGAGATTCCTCAGTGTTTTATTTCTTGCCACTGTGGCCTTGCTGATCTGGGCACACCATTGTGACTGCCACCACCTGAGCCTGTAACTGTCTTCAGTGGGAACTTTTTTCCTGTTTTAGACACAGAATTTCTGTCCCCAGTGACACTTTTATTACTTCTTGCTGTTATCCTGTTCATTCTGTTTAAGCAAATGCTTTCTTTTAATGGTCTTCTGCTTGTGCACTGGTGGTGTGATTCATCCTGCCTTTTCTGCACACTTTTTATCCCTGCCCACAGCATCCAGTTCTCCTCCTTTCACTGACTGTCCAACACATCAGTTAGATCCGTATCCTCATCTAAATTCAGTGTTTGATTCCCCTGACCTGTTCTTTTCAGGTGATTTTATGCAAAACCAGTTGTCTGCTATCGTAGTTTGAGAAGACAAATGATGGTTCGGTGATGGTTCCATTCCCAGGTCTGTTCAGCTGTAGGAGACTGAGGGGAGAGCTCACTGCAGATACACCTTCCTGGGCAGGGGCAGAGGAGGGGCAGGGACTGAGCTCTGCTCTGTGGGGACCACGGACAGGACCCAGGGAACGGCTGGAGCTGTGTCAGGGCAGGGTCAGGTTGGATCTCAGGGAAAGGTTCTTCCCCAGAGGGTGGTTGGCACTGACCAGGCTCCCCAGGGCAGTGGGCACAGCCCCAAGGCTGCCAGAGCTCCAGGAGGGTTTGGATGATCCTCTGGGACACCTCGTGTGACTCTTGGGGCCGGTCCTGTGCAGGGCTGAGGGTTGGACTGGACGATCCTGGCGGGCTCTCGGCACGTTCTCAGGGATTCCGCTCGGACGGGACATCCCGGCCCCGGCCCGTGCGCGGACACGCCCCCTGCGCCTCAGGGAGCCGCGCGCGCCCGCGCACGGGACGCGCCCCGCGATGGGAGGGGAGGGGGGAGCGAGCGGCGCTCTCGCGAGAGCCAGGCGGACGCCCCGCGAGATCTGTGCGCGCGCCCGCCCGCGTCATGTTTTGCCGGTGACACCCGGGCCGGGCGGACGCGGCTCCGCCGGGACCCCCCGCCCGCACCGACCCGGCCCCGGCCCCGGCCCCGCCGCGGCACCCTCAGCGCGGCACTCTGGGCCCCGCCGCTCCCGCCGCTCCCCGCCGCTGCCTGGTGAGCGCGCGGCCGCCGCGCCGGGGGGCGCGGGCAGGGGCGGGAGGCCTGGGCTCGGCCGGGACCCCTCAGAGCGCCCGGAGCGGGGCAGGGCCGGCGGGGAGGGCGAGCGGGGGCAGGCGGGGCCGCGCAGGTGGCGGCGCCCTGTTGCTGAGGGGGGAGAGAGGGACGGGCGTCCTCCGGCAGCGCTCGTCCCTTCGCGGGGGCTTTTTGTGCCCCCTCGGAGCGGTGTGAACGGCACGAAATTCGCGCTGTGCCCCGGCCGCGCTCCTCCGAGCCCGTGCTTTGCTCCCGGAGCCTCGCGAACGCGGCCGTGGCGTGGCCGTGCGTTTCCCCTGAGTGCTGGATGCATCCCGGGCTCTGTGCATCCGAGCTGGACCCGGCTGGTGCCGCAAAATCCACTGTAAGATGTGTCACGTTGGCCTCCGTCGGCTCCGGGCACGGCTGGGGGTGTTCCCTGCGCCTCCGGACCTGTCAGCCCACGCCGTCGGCTCCCCGGGGCCTGTGTGCTGACCCTTGCTTGCAATACCGAAAAATTGTATGTGTGCTTTTACTCAGATGTGGTTTATTTTGTATTCCAAAGCGATATCCGAGCAGGTGTTTTGCTGTGGTTTTGGTTTTTATTGTTTTGGGTTTTGTTGCTTTGTTGGTTTTTTTTTAACTGCATATGGCCAATTTTCTTTAGAAGTTCCTGTATATAAGCTGCTTTTCATGGGTTTTTTTAGGGACAGAACCCTACTGTGCTCTCTCTCTCCCTTTCACAGTGCACGTAGGAGTGGTTTAGTGCAGTTGTTGAGCATCTTCATCTTGTGTTGTCACAAGTCTGAGCTGATTGTTCCCTCATGGACTGGTCAGTTTGCTGTAGCTGGACCATGTGCTCTATATACAGATATACTTACAGGTGTGTATACACGTGTGCTATTGCCTTGTGGGGTCGATCAGATTTGTAGCTCAGCAGAGTGTTCTGTGCTGTTATTTCTTGACAAAACCTCAAAGCTGCGAGTTTACACCTGCTGAATTTAGTGCTCCTTCCTAGAGGCCCCACATATCCCACATCTGCTCCATGGCTTGGGGATGTGGACTGAGGAGGACTTGGAACTCAGAGGTGAGTCTCTCAGAATTATGGGGAAAACGTAATAGGCATTTAACCTGTAAAGGTGGACTGTACACCTCGTCAGACTGCTGCTGCTTCCCAGTGGTCTAAGAGGAGTCTGTTAATTTTGTGTGAAGGATTGAAAGCTGTGCAATGTTGTGCTACAGGACAGAAAGGCATTGCCAGTCTCCTGAGTCCCTGCACCTGTGAGGAATTTGTTAGGTGGCTTTATGCACAGTGGTTGTGTCTCAGAATTAAACTCCTTCTCTCTGAGTATAAAACCTGTACATGTTTGAGGATTTCCTCTCTGCTCTTCTGTTGTTATTTAAATATGTCATGTATGTTTTGTTCTTTGCCTGAACGTTAAGAATAAACATGTTTTTGTGGTTGGAAGTGTGTAAGTTGAGGGGGAAGTGGGGGTGTTGAAATTTCTTTATGGAAACTGTGCAAAGGAGGTATTTATCTAATTGTTAGTTAAGGATAGGGATGTAAAGTATTTGACTTATTTTTGCCGAAGGACTGCTCGGCGTAGTAAGAATATAGCACAGCATTTTTTTATTCATTTAATCCTTGACCTGAAAAATAGTTTATCAGTGAAAGCTGCTCTTATTTCAGAACTGAATGAAATGGATAGTAGTTGAGTAGGAAAAGGCTTAAGTGGACAGGCTAAAGATCTGAGTTGTTTTTTGTCTTTACCAATTTCAGGTAGTCATGGTCTTTCTTTTTCAAAGAAAGCAGTACAGGGGTGCTCTGCATGTTTTAAAGTACCACTGATGATGGAGTGGGACCTTTCTATGGATGGGGAAAGCTCCACGTGGATTTGTGTTTTGGTAGTAAAATGAATAAAGTATATACATTTAAGTACTTTTGATTAAGACACTCTTAATATTCCAGTCTTTCTTTCTGTTTTTAGTGTAATTATTCTTGTAATACTCATGGGGAAGAGAAGCACTTTTATCCCCATTTTAGAAATAAGTAATGGAGACAAAAATATGTATTTCAGGAAGACTTGGAGCAGGCCTTTGATTTCTGGTCACAGGTTGTTACGAAGTCATTATCCTTTCAATGCACTGTCTTCATTTGGGTCCTGTACAGGTACCTTACCTTCCTCTTGAGAGGTTTTTATCTTGGTCTGCTGTTTTAGTTTGGTGTAGGGTGCAATTCTCTCTGGCTGGTTTGACTTCCTGATGTCAAAGTCACCTCAGTGACTGGTGAGTCCTGTGTTGGTTGTGTTTCTTTCTCAGAAACACTCAAACTCTCCGATTGCTGGCAGGTTTTGGTTTTGTCTCTCCCTGTAGCGAGTGACGGTCATGTGGAACATCCAAATCTAGTCGGTGTTTTCTCTTTCCAAACATCTAAAGTATCGCTCAGGAAAGGAAGCTCTGCTGTCGTGGGGCTGCTTGAAATAACTGGCAGTGGTGCTGCAGCTGCTCAGGGGGCACTGTAGTCACTCACAGTTACCCTGGTAAGTTCTGAACGGGGAAAAATCCCAAAGCCCAGCCTGGAACCCAATAACTGTGGAATTTGCCAATCCACAGCCAGTGTAACTGTGACCTTGGAGCTGGCCAGGTATATTCCCTGGCCTGGACTGCCTGTTGTGATTGACCTGATGTCATCGAGTTAGTTGGGAGGAAATTCAGGTGGCTCAAGCAATCATGTTCTCTGCTGGAAGCTGGAATTAATTTGCTGCTTAAAGAAGAGCCTGCAGCTTGAGTCCTCCTTCCTACTACTAATAATTGTTTTGCTGTCAGGTCTGTATGATACAGAAATTTCATTGTCAAAACATTTCCTTATATTTATGAATTTGTAGACAGAAGTTTCTTTTTCAGTCAGTTATACCCGGAGTACTCTGAGGCAAGAAATATAAGTGTTACCTGGAAGTGTTAACATGAAGGGGCATCCACAGCTTGCTGGGCAACCTGCTCTGGTATCTCACCACCCACTTTATTAAAAGTTTCTTCTTTATATCCAATCTAAACCTGCCCATTTTCATTTTAAAACCCTCACCTCTCAACCTGTCACCACAAGCCCTGATAAAAGCTATGCCTCTTTTATATATGTGTATATATATATATATATGTGTAAATATATATATCTCAAGGCTGCAGTCCACTTTCCCACTTGCATCACAGTTAACTTGAAAGCTACATGAGTGTGAATTTTGACTCTGTACATATTGCTGTCCCCTGTCCATTGCTGACTTTCTCAATCTCGAGTCAGGATTACTAGTAAATATGTCTTCAAAATGTTTGTAGTTTTTGCAAGAAATTGTCTGTTTCTGTGTGTTCTGGTGGTTGAAAACACTGGGACTACACAGTGAGTAGAAGTTCAAGTGATGGTTCTTTCAGGGAAAGTGGGAGTGGTAAAAGCTCAGCAGGGTTTTCATCCCTTTTCCAGTGCAAGATCAGGCCCCTGTCTTTACTCAGATTGTTGGAATGTTTTAGGTACATGGGGATTTCTGCCTCTCAGCTCTTTTTACCAACTGCTTTTGATGATTCTGTATGTGGAGTGTCTTACACTCGCAGCTTTCAGTCAGTGAACTTTAATGCATCTGAAGAAGTAATGAGTTAAATTGATTTTTCTAAGTTTCTCTGCAGAATAGTAATAATTTTTATTTCTCCACTACTTGGGTAGACTTTGTACAGCACCCAGGGGTTTACATTGGCAAACCACGATTAGGTTTTTGTATCACTTTCTTTATAAATGTAAGGGTAAATAGCTTTAATTTCTTATTAACTTCAAAAATAACTTTGTCCTCCTTTTGTCTGTCTCCCAAAAGGTTTTTGGAGTGACCAACTGAAAGCATAGAGCTATATTGGTTTCAGTAGTATAGTAATGAACAGATAATAGAAAATGAATATGAATAATCCTAAATAAATAATAAAGGAAGACTAAATTTGGAAGAATACCGGTAGAACCTCAGCATGTCTTACTTAACAAATAAAAAGCTTGGTGGAATACAGTATTTGGGAAGAAAAGTCGGCAGTTGGCTGCAGAATAATCTTGATCTGAGTTATGATGTCCTGAGTTTGGTTCCCATCTGCTGAGCAGGGGGCTGGTACAGGGAGGAAGGACAGTGGACGTTGTGCTCTCTGGGGACAGATGTTCATGAGCTGCTGCCAGGCTGTTTCACTGCAAGTGTTTCTGAGGAGTGCAGAACCAGCTGCTGGAGCTGCTGCTCTTGCCTTCTCTGCTGCACTTCCTCCTGCTCCTTGCCTTTGCCACTGCAGGTTTGGAGGGGACCAGGGCTCATTTCTTCTGCCTTGTTTTACTGTCCATCTCCTGTTATCCAGCACCTCTCCCCCCCTTTTTTTTTTTTGGCTACTTCTAATGATGCTTTTTGTCTCTTTACTTTCAGTTCTCTGTTAATTTGTAGTAATTTCTCTGCAGTGTCAGTATTTTCTGATTTATCGTTTTCTCTTTTTCTTTCCTGTGGCTGTTTTTGTGTGGATTCCCATTCCCCTCACATCTGTCCTGGCACTGTGTACAGGCTACATGTCTTTCCCAAAAAGAACATTTGAGGGTTATTCCCTTGCACAGTGATCTGCAGAGCTTTTTGGCACAAGTAAAATATTGAACAAATAACTCTTTTAGGCAGCATTATATCCTGTTGGTTTTTAACTGTCATGGTGTTCCCTGGCCATAAGCAATATGAAACATCTTGCAGGTTTTGCATTCCTTGTGCATTTTGTATTGTTGGCCTGTGACAAGGCAGGATTTTAATCACTTTTATATATTCCTGGTTTCTAAATCACCTTTCAAGAAAAAAGCTCTAAGGTTGTTTGGAGCCCTGATACCTGCTGCTGAATCCTATATATACAACCCTTTTTTGTGAAGAACGGGAAGCAAATCAGGTTGCTTTTCTTTTAGTTGCACTTTCAGATTGTAAAACTTTAATAAGGATGGC